ACTTTATTACAATGTATAGAGAGTTTGGTAGCAGCGGCATCCATAGAGGATCCTTAGAATATGTTCTTCTTGGGTGAGTGTGTGTGGAAGTGTGTGCTCTAATAGCGTCTAACTGCCGGCCATGACAGGTGGAAGACACTGAAGTGGACAATAAGGCCTGGGAATGGCAGAAAAGTGGCCCACAGGCTGAACCAGTAGGAAAGGCACAGAATAGGGTTCAAGCAGGCTTCTCTGAGCCAGCACTGGGCTAAGTATCTCAGGAATTACACTACTATTATAGATCAGAGAAGACAAATTGTCCCCAGCCTGTGGTGGGTGAAACTGAGTCACAGCCTAGATACTGCCAAGATCTCGGAGAGTGCAAATGCAGAAGCTTAGAATGCAAGGCAAGCTTGCTTGACGCCAGGAGGGAGGGGTCCCTTGCTGTACAGCCTCACTGCTTATCGTGCTTGAGGCTCTTCCACCACCAGAGGCATCCTTCCTCCCCTGCATACCAAGTGTAGGCTCCCAGAGTATCATCACCCCCAAGACAACTCTAACACACACACACACACACACACACACCTGGTAGAGACCTAAGAAAGCAGAAAGATGGCCAAGTCAGTCAGCACCACCAAACACCTGTATTTATGGCTCCATTTATAACAGGGGCAGTGACTGACATAGATAGCTTTAATACTGGGCTCCAAGGCCTCTGTGACAATAGCTACAAGACTACAAGATGTTAGCAAACCCAGTGACAGTGGCTCTATTATAATGATAAATCTACAGCTTTATATAGAAATAATGAGACTAGGGGGAAGTGGGGGAAGGAGGGAAGAGTCGAGTGAATTTAGTCAATCGGAGCTCTGGTTGGAAAGACACTGGCACACACCCCCCCAGGATTGTTTGAGAGTCTGGCCATTGGCCTTCTTCATGCCAGTAGGAGTGAGGGCCACAGAACCATGAGAGCCATGCCCCTGGCTGAAATGGATGTCATGAACTCTCTTGCTCTCTTTCCAAGGCTGGGTTTGGAAATCGCTGGAAGACTTGAGGGCTCCAACTGCTCTAACATATCCTGTCTGCCCGCTTCCCATGGGCCAGTGCTGTGTAGAGCTGGAGGCCAGGGTCCCCTGAGACTTCTGTTTGCGATCAACATGGCTAGAATATGGGATGTTAACCTCCCTCTCACTTGAGCTCAGTGACCACTGGCTGAGAGAGAGTAAGGCAGTCACCAGGCTTTGCTGCTTCAACTCGGGCACTGGGACAAGGGACCAGCCTGGTTCCATGGGTGAGGGGTGAATGTGATTCCCAGTGCACCCAAGGAGCTGCTGGGATAGCACCTGTGGCAGAGCAGGCTCACAGAGCATCCTCCTAACCCTCCATGCTCTCGGCGCCTCTTTCCATTCAACCTGTGAGCCACTGGCCGTCTGTTCCAGACTGCCTGACCAGTCACTCTCTTCACATCCCTGACGGAAGAACCCTGGACTTGAACCCTGAGTGACTGCACAGGATGTCCCTTCCCAAGTCTGGCTGTACCTACTATAAAAAGATGACTGAAACATCTCCTCCAGGAGGCCTTCTCAGATTAACCCAATTCAACCCCAGCAGAACGTCAACGGGACGTACACAGGAGGGGCCTCCCGTGACGCCAGAAGATAGAACAGGGGTCCCGGGAGGTTTTGAAAGGTGGATCGGACTGGAAGAGAGGTGGTGGGTGGGTTTGCATAGCAGAGCCTGTGGTAGGTAGTGCTTGTCAATCTGACACAAATTAAAGGCACAGGAAGAGGAAACAACCAAGGGGTTGTCTCCATCAGATTGGCCTATAGGTGCCTCTGCGGGGGCATTCTCTTGCTTGATGGTGGACGTGGGAAGGCCCAGTCTACTGTGGGTGGTGCTACCTTTGGGCAAGTGGTCCTGGGTTGTATAAACTGAACAAACCATGAGAAGCAAGCCAGTCAACAGCGCTCCTCCATGGCCTCTGCTTCAGTTCCTGTCTCTAGGTTCCTGCCTTGGCATCCCTTGACCGTGGACTGTGTGCTGTAAGCTGAAATAAACCCTTTTCTCCCGGAGTTGCTTTTGGTCACTATTTTACCACAGCATTAGAAAGCAAAGTACGACTGAGCCCTTGCCAACCAAGGCAGGACTGTTGGGCATACTGAGAGAACAGCCAGTTCTGGAGCAGAAAACTGTCATTCCAAGCTCAGGCCTGAAGCACAGCTCTGAGAACAAAATCAGGCACAGGGGAGAAACAGAACCTAGCTATTGGTTGCTTTCATCTGCCCTCCCCCGCGCCCCCTCCCCCACTGCACAGGCTACTGGACTTCATACACTCTGAGTACTCAGTCATTCCCTGTGACTGTGACTTGGGTCTCGCTGGTCCCCAAATAATTAAGTTTTCACAGCCAACACCACAACACAGGTAAAAACACCAGCCTGTTTGCAGCAGCCCTCCTTGCCTGGCCTCAGTTCTCGTCAGTGGGGTCTGAGCCAGTTCTCCAGGCCCATGCTGACTGGGGAGGCTTTGGGCTGCAAGGTCTTCACAGTACTCACCTGAAGAGGAAGGCCTGCTCGGAAAGTCTGCAGGCGAGTCCACGTGTGAGCCTGGTGCCTAGCTCTGCAGACCTGGAAATGCCTGGGCTGACCTCCCTCTGCTCATGACCCATACATCCCACTGCTCTTAGCTTGGTGGGTTATTTGTATCCATCCTTCCTCATCCAGTTCAATTCCTGTTGTTTGGAGCTCTTTCCCTTTGTCTTTCTCTCTCACGGTTTTGGAGATTATGATCGGTAGAGTATCTTCTGGCCTGCCATGAAGCTACTTGGTATAAGTCACCTGTCTCTTTACTTGGATTTTAAGTACCTGTGGGCTAAGAGGGTTGCCTCCTACCCCAGCCCCACACTAACCCTGCCCCTCATAGTCCTCTTAGGATAAGGAGATGGAAGAAGGCTCCACTCACCCTAAGGAGGACCTGCCTTCTCCTGAAGCTGGGCAGGGGCGGCAGCAACGGGACCGGGGTGGGGACAGCTGCGTTCCAGGACATGGAAAGTTACATACACGTGAGGGATGCGTGGGAACACACATCCTGCCTACTCCAGGATGAAGCACGCTCTTACACACAGGAGAAGAAAGTGAGGACTCTGGTCAGGGTCAGAGGAGGCTCCTGGGTGGACAAAATAGAGCACAGCCCCTGGCCAGCAAAGCTCCCCACCCCGGGCCATAGCCTCACTGTGAGAACTGAGCTGTCTTCCATATACCACACTGAAGGGCTGGGTCAGATGCAAACGACAGTGATTTAGGCTCCAGAGCCCCTGGGTCCATTCCCCTGTGCTCCTGCTGTTTTGGGCCACTCCGCTCCTTTGCCCCAGACCCAGTTTGTCTGCTGGACAGGCTGGCTGCTTATGACGTTCCTGGGGATGGCATTTCAAGAGAGGAAAGCACCAGGACATTGCTATCATTTCCAACCATGAGCATGGAGCGCCCCAGAGAACCTTACCAAGGCAAAAGTCTTGTTCTCCACGAACATACCACACTCTTTATCAACCAGTGTTTCCCCGGGACTCCTTCTCACAAACTCAACATAATGATATTAAGTACGGACTGTCCAAACGTAGGGTCTGTATGTGTATGGTCATCTCTGGTAAGGCAAGATTCAAGAAACCTCCAGGGGACACTCGAGCAGCACTACAGGACAATTGGAGTTTGGCTAAATCCCTCTGCAGACTTTCATCCACACAGGTGGGTGTGAGACGTACACCCTGCTACATCGGCAGGGTGCTTTAAACCACCTGATCATCTCATGCTGCTCTGGGTAGGCCTCACTAGGTCCTTCCACCAAGTTTATCCTCTACTTCTCTATAAAGGCCAACTTGAAGGGAGCAGAAGAGGTGACTCAGTGGTTAAGAGTAAGTACTGTTCTTGCAGAGGACCTGAGATCAGCACTTAGCCCTCACATTGGACAGCTCACAGCTGCCTTTACCTCTAGCTCCAAGGGAATCTGGCACTCCTTTCAGGCCTCTGCAGGCATTACACAAACAGGCACAAACCTCTCTTCTAACAGACATCCACATGCACACAATCAGATTGCTAAATAAAATAAAAAATATATTTTTTAATTAAACCTTGATTCTTTGAAACCTTTCCTGGCCAATTTCAGGTGATTGTGGGCAGGCCAAGATCAGACCTTCTCTGTGAACTCAGCCATTCTTTTAGGCTAACCTCCTGCATCTCCCAGGCCGTGCCCCAGATGAGGGCCTGTGCTATATGCTACTCATAAGTAGCTGCAGCCCTCCTTCTGGACATAGTAGGATTGCTTTGCTCCTGCCTTGTTGACATTGAGAATTGCTATGTGTCTTGTTTCTGCTAATGAAACATGAATGGAAGTGACATATGTCACTTTTGCCCGGAAGCATTAAAGAATCCTGCGTGCTCTGCCGCAGCCTCGTCACCCTGATATCCAACTGTGGTAGCACATATTGACCCAAGGCCTCTGTTTGGCTTGGGTCCCTTGGGAACAAGTCCAGCCGAACCCACAGGCAAGCTGTGAAGCACGTGTAACCCGAGCAGGAAATAAACTTCAGTTGTCTTAAGCCATAAATTCCCAGGATTGTTTGTTACTTCAGCATAAAGCTGGTTCATACTGACTGACACAGCCTGCCTGGTCTTGATCGCCAATTCCAAGCTTCTAAAACATAGCAATGACTACTAGACCCTACTGACTCGTTCAGCATGGACTTACCTTCAGCTAAAAAGAATATGTAACGTGATTGTGTAGATAACAAACTTAAACTTAGCAAGCAGAGAGAAACACCCATACCACACAACCGAATCAAAAGACACAAATTGCCCTCCTTCTTTAAGCCAGCTAGGCAGCGTTCAAGGACTTCCCCAGGGTGAACTGAGCCACTAAGAAGTTTCTATAGGTTCCTATGTATCTCCAGAGGGACACAGGTCTGGGGTCACGTCCCACCCAACTCAGAACTGCCAGTGCTCAGGTAGCCAAGGAACAGGACTGTACTCACACTGGTGGCATACTGGATGTCCTTCCAGATGGAGGTCTCCCGGGACAGGTCAGAGGCCTCAAAGAGATTGTCCAGGATGACCTCCCCGATCATGTCATGGCGGGAGAAGCGGTCAAAGTCAAAGACACTGAGATGCAGCTTGCGGTCAGCCAGCTCCTCATAGGGCACGGGGAAGTGGAAGTTCTCGTCAAAGGTGGGGTTCAGGGTCTTCCGGTGCACCCGGGTCTGCAGCTTGCACTTGCGGTCAGGCAGGAGGTAGATCTTGACATAAGGGTCAGAACTTCCACAGAAGTCCTTGGCAGGGAGGTCAAAGGCCTTCAGGATGCGCACAATCAGGGTCTCGCTCTCGTAGTCGTAGCGGAGGCTGAAGTTGATCTTGCCACAGCTCTTGGCGGCCTCAGACTTGGCGTCGTCCCCATCCACCGACTTCTGCTTGTAGAGCTCAGGCTTGATGCGGCCGATGCTGGTGGGCTGCTCCGCTGCTGGTGGCAGCTCATTGCCGTAGTCTACGCTGGAGACGTGCATCTGCCGCGGCAGGTGACGCTTGAAGGATGTGTGCCTGGCCGAAGACAGGAGGCACAAAAAAACCTGCGTCAGGCCTTCGGGGTGGGGCGGGGCGGGATAAAGGCAGATCCAACCCTGGCGGCTCATCTCCCTCTCGTGGGGGCCCCTTCCTTCCCTCTCAGAGACCCCGCTTTTCCTCTTCATGCATTTTGTGCACAACGGAGTCGGGAGCATGGCGTGTCTTAATATATGTAAAGTAGTTGGAATGGTGCCTGCTATACAGCAAGCTCAATGTTAGCCATTGTTTTAATCATCATTCCTGCTTTTCTGCCATCTGCTTTCTAGGTTTCTTTCCTGGTAGGCACGACTACTTTTCCCATTAAAGCATGAGCTTCTGTAAGAAGAGGACAATGTTTCCCACTGTCTTCATCATCATCATCATCATCATCATCATCATCATCACCACCACCACCACCACCACCACCACCACCATTTTATTAAGGATTTAGCATCCAGCAGATAGTCAAGTAGTTAAAGGCACAGGTTTAGGAGATGGACTATATAGGTTAATTTTGGTCCCGCTACTTTGAGCAAGTTATTAAACTCTCTGCACTACAAAAAAAAAAAGAAAAGAAAAGAAAAGAAAAGAAAAGAAATAAAGATAATAAAAGTAACAATTGCATAGACTTGTCTGAGGGTAAAATACATACATACAAAGCACTTAGGGCTGGGCCAGGTGGGCAATAAGCAACACCCGCTAGCTCTTGGCATTACCACATGGATTCTTCATAGGTTCCTCACAACCTTAGCAGGGTCATTTGCCCTATTTTATATTTTAGAGAAGGGAGGCTTAGAGGGAGCACTGTGCTCAGGACCATCTGGCAAACTTGGCCCGTGGGGATCTCAGCATCTTCATTCCTGGCTTCTGCTCTGAAGACCACGTCTCTTTCCCTTTGATTGGTGCCTGTGAGCCTGAGGGAACGCACTGCGGGGATCCAGGAATCTACGAGATTCTTAAATTACGAGTAAACACAGTGGCTGCCTCCCCATGTCTTTTAACAGCGTTTCTGGGTTTATTTAGAGTAGGCAGGCAGCCATGATGTCTATTGAGGGTTTGCTTTTGAATTAGATGACTGCACATTATGCAACTGTTGCCACACAGGGAACCCGAGAGGGTTTTAAAGAAATCCTCCTTCTCAAAAAGCCTGGACTCTCATTCTTTACCTCTGGCGCATGACACACTGTAGCTAGGTGGCTTCACTGTCCCAACCCTTATTACATCATGAACTTTCATGCCTCTGGGCCTTTGTGTGTACTCTTAGCCCTGTCTGAAGTCTTCCCTTTCCTCAAAACTCTCAACCCAGCTTCCAGTCTAGTCTTCTGTGTTCTCGAATTCACCCCCATGTGCTGACCACATCATGCACAGCATGTCACCTTGAAGGTTCCCCTTTCGCCACACCTCCGATGGCTACCTTCCCCTCTTGACTGCCTCTGCGGATCACACTTCCTGATCCGGTTCTCAAAGGTCACAAGCTGTTAGTTCTAGACCCTGCTTCTCAGAGGCTGGAATCTCTTTGCTGCACTGTATCAGAAAGTCTGGGTGCATGGGGCTTAGGAGGTGAGGTGTGCCCCCTTCACCTGGTGGAGGATGCTGGCTCTGTGGTCTGTCGCTGCAGCCTCGTGTGACGCATGATGTGCTCCTTGACCGACATCTGCACCTCAGCTGGGATATCTGGGGAAGTGTGGCTGATCTTCACAGCCGCCTCCAGGAAGCCCAGGGCACTGGGGTCCTTCAGCTTATCTGCCATGTTGCCTCTGGAGCCGGCGCCTTGGAGGGTCTCTGAAGCAGGATTAGCAGAAGAAGGGCTGGAGGCCTCCTTGTTCCTCCAGGGCATCCAGCACAGCTTCCAAAAGAGAAAGAGAAAAACTGCCACCAGGGCCACACCACACACAATAACTACCACTGCAAGGAGGCTGACAGAGGTGCCTGCCCTCGGCACGAGGCGGGCGGGGAAGGACAGAGACACACAGAGGTGGGGGTGAGCAGGTGAGGCGTCGGAGACGGCGCACACAGAAGGGACAAAGACGGAAGAAGAGAGAAGAATGGTTATGAGCAAGGCTGTCAAGTCACGGGAAGAAGTGACAGTTTGGGGGTTGACCGTTGATGGTCCATTTTGTTAACTCTCTGCAGCCCTGTGCTCACCACAGTCTGACTGCTTCAGCATCACCCTGCCCCCACCCTTTACCAGCATGGAGCACTGGCTGCTTGCCCTACTGCTCCTGGCTTGTGCCCAGGGAGGGGACAGAGATTTAAATGGGAGTCTAAACAAATGTGCAAATTCCTGAAGCGTTCATATTTGTACACTGTTTGAATTTCTATTAGAGCGGTTACTGTGGCCAGACTTCTAACAGGATCTATTTCTCTTTTTCACTCACTTTATTTTGGTACTGGGGATAAAACCCAGAGCCTTGCCCGTGTTAGACAAGTAATCTCTCACTGAACTTTATCTCCAGCCCCCAACAGTCACTTTTGCACACAACCTATGAAGTAGGGGTCAGATCCTGGCTAACTCATGCTCCCTTCTTTGTCCAGGCTCTGTTGGCTCTATCCTTGTTCGTTCCTGGAACAAAGCAGGAGGAGTTCAATAAACACTCAGCAATCTTCCAGGGAGAGGGGTCCAGCCGCATTTCCCTAAAAGCAGGTGTGTTAAGTTTTTGCTTTCCTAGAGTTTTCTGCCTGCTGTAGGCTCAGTGGGTGCTTGTATGAAGTTGGAATCTGATTACTGGGGTCTATATAGGTCAAAGCTAAGTACAAAGTACAAATGATTTCCATCACTGTCTTCTTCCCTTCTGTGGCTTTGTTGGGGGAAGCTTTGTTGCAAATCTAGCATTTGTGAGCAGTGTGGCTGGGTTGGAAGCAGGCCCATCAAGCCTTAACCTGTCCCCGTCCACCCCAAGGTGCTGTCATCTCAAGAAAGCTGTGCAGAATGGCTCCTCCTGTGGGGAGTTGGTAAGCGGACTCCTATCCCACTTGCTCTCCCCAAATGTAATGCTGAACCCTTGAGCCCGAGGCAGAAGTCAGAAGGCTACGAGCCAGAGGTATGCCTGGCTGGGCTGTCATGTGATCACTTGTTTGATGAACCTGCAGAGGAGCTTGCTTTGGCTAACATCATGAGTGAGGAGCTATGAGAGTCCATAAGGTCACCACCCCAAGGGTCTGGCTTTTTTCTGGAAGAGGCCAGTGACTCACTAACTTGCCTTGGGTGGGTGGGTGACTGCAGGGATGTGTCCTATCAGCTCAACCCTCTTCTCTTTTACCTGGCTAGTCTCTGCAGACCTGGAGCTTGGAGCCTCTGAACCAGCTGCTAATTGCCTTACAAATCTTAGGACTTAAGATGTGGTACTTGGGTAAAGATGGCAGCAGTGGCCCAGAAAAGGGTCTTGTAAGAGGCCATAGGTTAGACCTTGGGCCAGGGCCTAGGTGTGCACTATCCTGTTCTTTCCCCTGCGGCGATTTGTTTGTCCCAGATTAAACTCTATACTCCTGTCGGTTCGTCAGGCCTTATGTGTTCATTCATGAACCAGCATGTAAGCAGGCATACGTGAATAAGTTACAGTTCTTTCTCCTTTCAGTTCAGCTAGGCCAAACTGCCAGGTTCTGAGCTAGGCGTGGCAAAATGCCTAGGTCTTGCCAGGTACTTCTACTGTATCCAGGCCTCAGGGAAAGCTAGCGTACATCTTGAGGTCAGAACCCTCACCATTGTCATCTCAAGGAGCCCCTCCTGCCTTCCGGTCCCCAGCCCTTGCCAGGATCAGCAGCCGGGTGCCTCCATGAAAGGGGTAAAGAGGATGTTATCTCCAAGTCTCTCCCCACCACCTCTGCCCCTACCCGCCCAGCATAGAGACGTCACAGCCTTTCTCACCTAGAACAGCCATTCTCAACCTGTGGGTGGTGACACCTTTGGAGGTTAAAGGACCCTTTCACGGGGGTCCCATATCAGATATCCTTCATATCAGATATTTACATTACAATTCCTAACAGTAGCAAAATTACAGTTACGAAGTAGCAATGAAAACAATGTTATGGTTGGGGTCACCTGCAACACGAGGAACTGTATTAAAGGGTAGCAGCATTAGGAAGGTTGAGATCCACTGGTCTAGAGACTACCAGGTCTCCAGGGAAACATCCATGTATGCGAATAAAAAAAAATCCTAAGCTATTATAATATCTATCATGTTATATGAGTAGTTAAATTTTTTTATATAGGTTGATAGTGTTAAGTATTTTATTATTGGATTTAGTCAATTTATTCAACACCATTATGTTCAATTTTGAAGTAGCTTTTATATATCCAATCATGTAATCCTCTTTAATGAAACAGGTAAAATTATTGCCCTCCCTTTGCATATATGAATGTCCAGAGGATTAATAGACAGCCGGTAAGGTGGCCTCCGTGCCACCCTCAGCCATGGCACTCAGCAGTATCACTTTGGTAGAACATGTATGTAACTTGGAGACAGATCAACCCACACTGGAAGGACTTCCTCAGGTTTGGTTTTTTTTTTTTTTCTGTTGTATATTTATGATCTAAATGACTTGGAAACTGTTTCTCCAAGCCCTTACCTTCTGGGCACACCAGGAAAGCTTCCGTGGGTATGTACGTCCTTATTCTAAGTCTGTCCATCCCTGGACCCTTCATGTCTGTTCTTTGTTACACCTGCTCTGGGCCCATTTCCTGCAGTGAGTCACTTTAAAACAAAAGGTATTTCTAGGGCCGTGCTTTCCTTTGATCATGCATTTTACTTGCTCTGGTAATAATTAGAATTTTAATGAGAAGGGAGGAGGTAAGGGGGGGGAATCTGGAGAGCATAGAGTGCATTTAAATGTTCAGCTTGACAAAAAACTAAATTCATAAATGAAAGAAAGGTAGGGGGAGGGACCTGGGGGTTCATTTTTTTTCATGTAGTTGCTATTTCAATTGCGTCTCCATGTGACCTTCCTTGGTGCTATGTTCAGAGAAGGCAGAGGGTATAGATTATTGGGAATCAGTCCCTCACACTCAATACTGGTTATGAAAGAACAGGAGGGCCACCCCGTGCCTGGAGAATCTTCCCCCAGGACTAGAAGAGCCTGGGTTTTGGAATTTCACAGGCAGACCATGCAAGGAGAATTAGGTTCTGGACACTAAGAGTTCATCCACTCAGGAGGCAGAAGGTGGCAAGTAGGAAAAGCAAGCGCAGAATCAGAAAAGAGGAGGGGGTAATTGCAGAGAAATAATTAAAAATAATTAAAAGTGACCGTGGGTGGTCACGAACTCAGCCAGCCTTGACCGCCAGTGTGTTAGTCAGCTCTGTCTTTATGACAAATGCATGCGATAACCGACTTTTGAACAGAAAAGGTTCCTTTTGGCTCACAGTTTCAGAGGCTCAGTCCCACTATTTGGCTCATGGTGGTGCATCACAGTGGATGTCTATGGGGAAACCAAACCTTTTACATCATGACCAGGAAGCAAGAGAGAGAGAGAGGAGGAGGAACAGGAGGAGAAGGAGAAGGAGGAAGAGGAAAAGGAGGAGGAAGAGAAGGCTGGGTTCCTGATATCCTTCTAAGGACAAACTGCGAGACTTCCCACCAGGCCTCATTTCTGGAAAGTTCCACCCCCTCCCAACAGGCCCACTCTAGGAAACAAGCTTGCAGCACAGGGGCCTTTGGGCAGACACTACAGATCCAAACTACAGCGCCTGCTTACAGGCATATAATTTGGGAAGCAATAGCTGCTGGTCATTGAGCCACCTCTGGGAGAGAGAAAATTGTGGTAGACCTATTTATGCTTTGGAGACATAAGCCCAAGGACTTGGTCTGGAACAAAGGCATGAGGCTTTGATCCTTATTGGGAAGCTGGACTTCACAGGGTGCTCAGGATGAATCTCAGCTGGGCACCAGTGCAAATGACTGCAAAGCGCACGCCACTTACCTTGCTTTCTGATGGTTCTTCCTACCTCACCAGATCATTAGGGAAATCAAATAAGCTGAGGCTAAACATAGTCCTGATATGCAGAGAGCGACCCCCAAACATAAGCTGCTGTTATCCTCCAGGACTTTTTCTTTTTCTTTTCTTCTTTTTTTAATTAAGTATAATTGTTTACTGTGTACAGCTAGGCCTCTGGGGCCAGAGAAGGGAGACCCTAGATCAGAGAGCAAAGTGGCCTCTGGCCTGTCTTCCCTCAAAGCTCATCAGGGTAGGGCCTGCTTGGTCACCTTAAATAATGCTGTCTGGTAGGGCGATGGCTCAGGCCCTCCCCCCTCATCCCAAAATGCTAAGTTATTAATTAGCATCCCAAGGCCTGCTTATCTTCCCCAGTGACACTTCATTCTCTAAAGACAGCCTGGGTGCCCCCTCCTCTTGCCTCCATTCATAGTGTTAGGATTCATCAGCAACTCTTATCGCTTGCCATTGTTCCATTTTTCTAATGGGTTCCTATGTCAGGAAAATCCATTTTGTAACCATCACAGGCATTCTTGCTAACAGATTGTAATTGAAAAGACAAACTGGAGAGAGGAATAGCAAAGAAAGGACCAGTTCCCAGCTCACACAGGCACCAGAGAAGCCTGGCCTGGGGCCTGTAGTCACTGCTCATCCCTCAGAAACACAGATGCCCAGCTGTCTGCTCTCCTTCACATCCTACGGAGACACAGCTAAACCACAGCTCAGAAACCAGACAATAAGGGATACAGAGGTCTAAGAAAACGGAAGGAACAGCATTTAGTCTCGAGAGGGAAGAGACTCCAGGCAGAACCATTCATATTAATATTAATGGTAATATTTGCCATTCATTTCAGTGCAGCAAGCATCGTGCCTTGTATTGCTATCTCATTTAATCTTTACAGCCTCCTGAAGACATCCACATTCATTATCTCACCAGATAAACAAAGTATGGAGATGATAACTAAGGCACATTGCTCAAAGGCACAGTGTGTTAGGCAGAAGAACTGGGATACCAAAATTCAGACCCTTGAACCAGGCATCTCTGGGGACTGGAGGTGGGGCTGAAGAGCTGCAGACTCAAAGCCGCACAAACTCAAAAACTCAAAGCTCCGCTCTGAGTTTTCTTCTTCTCTGAGGGGTGCATGTCCTCAAGTTACCCATGAACTACCAGACAAATAGCCAGTGGCTCCTGCAAAGTCCAGTGATATCCCTGAGAAATACTGGAGCCGGTGGGCAGGAGGGGGGGGAGGAGAAAGAGCTTGTGTTGAGAGAACGGTAGCTGGCCCTTACTGGGGCTAACAGACATGGTCCATTAATAATAAACCCTGCTGTGGCTTGTAAATTTATTAGAAGTGGGTGTAATTAAATTCAGAGTTAGGGGGAGGGGGAGCAGAGGGCCATTGCTTCCTTTTCTTCTTCAGAGAGCCGGGCTGAGCTACCGATGGGGATAATTAGCAGAGTCCAAACAGAGAAGGAATTAATGCTCCTGAAAAAACTGTGATGAGGAGAGACAAAGCTGGGCTAATTACGGCCGCACCAAGCTTTATGACTGGGCTCCTGCTTCCACCATCATTAGAGATAAATCGGAGGCTAATGTAGAATGTAACGGTGAATGGAGCTCTGGCACTAATTCAGCTTTCATCGTCATGTCATCATCATCATCATCATCATCATCATCATCATCATCATCATTGCAGATGGTCATTGTACCTTTCTACCTACATCTTTCTACCCATTGTACCTTCCTACTTTCCTGTGTGGGTTGTTATGGGGAAGAAAGAGTTCAGTGCTCCAAAGAGAGAGTTGAGGGGATAAGGTGTTCTTTAAATCTTCAGGGTCCAGACCAGATGCCCAGCTGGCTTAGCTCTGACTGTACTTCCAAAGAGGCTCAGCATTAGAGGCCTGACCAGGGGTGATGGTGAGCTCGGTCAGATCTTGTCATCATGCTCAACCCAACTCAAGACAACCTCAAAGAAGCCTAGCCTGAGCCTGGGTTCCAGAGTCAGTCCTAATCATCTCTCCTCCCCAGCTCTGCGGGCCTAGAGGGGAAAGAAATGTTAGAGCCGTAAGAACAGAGAACACAGCTTTTGCACAGAGCTCAAAGGAATGAGCATACTAGAACTATCAGCCGCACCCGGCCCTGTCCTAGTCAGAGGGAGGAGACAACTTCCAGAGACATCTAGGAGGTTCTACAACTGTGGGAGAACACTGCATTCTAGCTGCAGCGCCGCTTATCTGTACTCCTGGCACCCAGGAGGCTGACACACGAGAATTGTTATGAATTTGAGGCCAGCGTGAGCTACATAGCTGGATCCTGTCTTAAAAAATTCAAGAGAGAGAAAAAAGTTAAGGCATGAAACACACCGGGATCAGAAAACATCACACTGGTTGTTCAGGGTAGTGCTTTCTTCCACAAATGTCAAATATAACATTCCTTCCTCCCATAAAGAAGAAGCCAGGGAGTCTGATTCTGCAGATGAGGGAATGAGGCTCTTTTTAAGAGAAATATTGTGCATTTCACTTGCCATCACACACAGGAGGAGGAAAGATAAAAAAGAAACATTCTCTGGGCTGCAAAAGGCCAACTTCAAAGCCAGGTGGTTGAATCATGGGGCATCTCTAGAGTCATTAGCAAAGCTAACAAACACCACATTTGTCTAGAGCCATAGGTAGGCTGGGAGCAACCTCTCCTGGCTTCCAGCCTACAGCACTAGGAGCAGGGCAACTTGGGTCAGCTTTCAGGATCCTGCATATTCTAGAACAGTCTTAGATTTCTGCTGCACAGTTCACCTCTGCAACTTCAACTACGTATAAAGTTCATTCACCTCTACAAGGAGAATGACTGAAAGAAAGGCCTGTTGGTGACTATGTGAGAGTATGGGGCATATAAGGAATACATTAAGGAAGAAAGCAGACCTTTGTGTCCTCAGGGTTTTTAGAGAAAGGGGAGAGAGGGGTTTTGCTTTTAGTTGGGAAGTTTCAGCACCAATGCTTCCAAGTCTGAGTCTGATCCATGGAGATTTCTGATGCAATTCTTTGCCCAGACCCTAGTCTATGGGAAGGTCTGTGCAAATGATAGTGGAATCCGAGTCTCAGCCGTTGACATTTGGGGGATTACTAGGAATTCCAGGAGCTAGGCTTTAGAGCTGTGAGAAGGCAAGGAAAGAGATATGATGAAAAAGGGAGCTGAGCTTACTCTATGCACTTGCCATTTCTTTTATTTCTCAGCATTGCTTTGGTTGGGGGATCGGATCCTAGCTGGAGTCTCTGGGGTGCAGAAGCAGGCTGGGAGGTGAAAGGTCTGGACCCCTCGTCTGAACACCGTGGCTCCCTACATCCTCAAGGCTCTAGGGCCAATTTCTTGTCGTGTGATCCGGCTCCCTGTCCACCTGCATCTCCTATCTTTCCTTGGCCCCAGGATTTCTTGGGGCTTGTGACAGACGCAGTGACAAAGTTAAGGCTCTCCAGGGCCACGGTGCATGTACAACTCAAACTCAACCTTCAGGGCAGGGTACTGAAATATCCGACTCCCTACCTCACTCACCTCAGCCTGGCCATTCGGATTAAAGGAATCTTCCAGGAGCCAGACTACCAGTGTCTCCCCCAGCATGTACTCACACCACTCCCCACCCCCACCCAGAGCGTTCTTGCCCTGGAGAGGTAGCAGGGCGCTCCTCTAAGGATATGTTCTGGCCCTCCCTAGGGCTGTCAGGCCCAGGGGGAAGGCTCCCCTGCATCCCCTGCAGAATGAGCATTTGTGGAAAAGATGGAAGGGAGCTAATGAAAGGGAGGAAGTGACAGTTGACTTGGGGAAACTGCTGTCTTGGAATCCTCATGGAGCTGGGGGTGTAGAAAGATGACGCCAGAGAACCCAGCGTCTAATATCAGCCTCATCTGTTCCGAGAAGACGGAAGAGGGAGAGCCAACTCTCATCACTGTCCCATTCTCAAAAGTTCTTAATGTCTTATCTCGGTCTCTTCTGCTGCAGTCATCAACTCATTGATTAAACAGTGCCAGAGAAAGAGAGAGGGAGAGAGGCCCCTAATGACTGATAGAGAAGCAAGGCAGGCTCCACTCACACAGGCTGGACACAGCTTCCTGGAGGCCCACGGCCTCCCCTGGACACTCCATCTCCTCCCTCCCTCAAAAGCTCTATTCCTAACCCAGCACCTACCTCTGTGTCTGGCCTTTAACCTCAAGAGGAAACTGGTAGACTCTGGAATCTGAGGTCCCCGGAGGGCTCACCCGACCTGCACCTGCTCCGGGAACCTGTCGTCTGGTCCCTGGCCACTAGTCCCTGGAGAGGCGCGTGGGGACCCCGTCCTCTCTTTCCCACGCCAGCCACACAGAACCCCGAAGCGACTCCCACTTAAGCCTCCCAGGAGACCCAGAGCCGCTGGGTTCTGGTCCGGGTCGAGGACAAGGTGCGGTGAGTCTGCGGAGCCCCAAGGAACTCTGGCGCCTCGGTCTCCGCAGGATCTCCCCACCCCCACACCGCATTCGCTCCGGGCCTCGTACTGCCCCCCGGGGCCCTTCCCTCCGGGGGGGGGGGGGGACACGACCCACGCCTGCTCCGTCCCGTGCCCTCCTAACCGCTGGACAAAGGCTCCCGCCGCAGCGGGGGAGCTCGGCGGCCAAGGCTGGTGCAGCAGGTACATACCCGGGCCGGTCGGCTGCCACGCCGCGGACACTCCCGCCGCCAGGGCGCGACACGCCGAGCCCTTGTTGTCGCGACTCCCGCGAGACGTCGCGGCTACACGCAGGACCCGGTCCCCCCGTGGGGTTCGGGCTCCGGACTCACCCTCTCCGGGGAGACTGACCCGGCTCCGGCTCCCGCCCAGACTCGGCGGCCTCCGGGGCTGCGTCGGCGCGCGGGGTCCGCGCGGCCCCGGGCAGGAGCTTCCCGCCCTGGCAAAGTCGGTGAGAGGCAGCCGCTCAGTTCAGCACCCGCCCGGAGTCCGAGTGAGTCAGAGAGAGACCGAGGGAGCGAGCGAGTTATAGGGGTGCTGGGAGGAGGGGGGGACGCCACGACACCCTCCCCACCCCGCCCCCCGGCGAGACGCAGACAGCCGCTCGCCGCGCGGAGACCTGGACACAAAGACCGCGTGCCAGCCGCAGACGCAAGTTTTCCCCAAGCCCGGAGGCTCGGCCCGCCTTCACCCAGCCACTGACGGGTCCCGGGCCTGGGTCCCCTGGGGGACACAGGCTTCCCCCTCCCCCCCCAGCAGCCTGGATGTCTCCACTCTCCCGGCCCTGGACCGTCACCCTTGGGGTGAGCCCAGAGACGCAAGGGAAACTGAGGCCCCAAGAATGCTGCATCTCCGGGCTCTTGTCATTAGTGACCCCAAAGGAGAGAAGGTTCTCTTCCCGGGGCCGGTTCGCATCTCTCCCCGCGGGCGGCGAGCCGGGGGGCTGGCCCATGCTGGGACACCAAGCTGGACTCCTGAGGCTCTGAGGCTCTTGGGCTGGTCCCTTGGGGGAGAGGAGGCCACCGGGGTGGCAATCCGGGAGTGGAGGGGGGCCCTGGGTTTCCCGGTACCTGAGTCGGCCGGGCTCGGACTCTGCTCCGGGGGTTGCAGCTCGAAGCTCCGACAAGTCTCCACGTCCAGCCCGAGAGGGGGCGGCCGGGCCCGGCACAGAGAGGCCAGGACCGCGAACGCCGCCTGGCACCGAGGCCCTCCGTTCCCCCAGATCCCGCTCATGCCCCGGACGCTCAGGCCTGCCGAGCAGTGGCTCGAACCCCCCGCCGAGGCCGGACTGGGGCGGGGCAGGAAGGCCCGGGGAAGACCCTGCCCGCAGCGGCCCCCTGCGGCTCAGCTCCGCTTTTAATCACCTCCCCGCAGGGTCCCCGCCCCTCACGTGGCATCCCGCGGCAGCTGGCAAGTCTGGCGCCTCCCGGCCGCCCCCTCCACACTCGGGGACCTGCCCGGGTCCGGGCAGGTTCCAATCCCGCTGTCCCACATCGTGCAGGATTCCAGGCCAGCTGGGCAGTCGCTGCGGGTGTGACCTTGGGCCGTTCTGGGGACGGTTTTCCTTTTTCGTAAAAGAAGTGTGGTGACCGCTGGGGCTCCGTGAGCTCCCCGGGAGTACATGGGTAGCGCTTGGGCAAACGTTGGGGCACACGAGTGGGCATCGCAGTAACACAGTGTAAAAAGGGACCCGGCCGGACTGCGTGGCGCGAGGATCCTGCAAAGACTGTTGACGGGGCAAAAGTGAGCCAGACTGGTCGTGACCAGCTTTGGAGACAGACGCATGACCCCAGGACCGCAGAGCGAGGGGAACTGGAAAGAAGACTTTCAGAGCCCCGCAGTCTTGCGGTCCTGGGCACCCGCGTGTTGCTATGGCAACAGGAGGCAGCGGCCGTCTCTCTCCATGGCAACGGGAGGGGAAAGTTTCTGGCGTATAGGAACGGGGAGCATTTCAGGAAGGGGTTCGGTTCCCACCAGGCCCACCTCCACGCACCAGGCCAAACCCACTAGAAATGATACCTATTTTCTGTGAGGCGTACATAACAAGGGCCAGAAAGGTGGAAAACTAGATAGGAGGCCAGACTGTAAAAGGAGCTCCGCTCAGGAACCGTGGAGTGAGGCTTAAAAGAAGGGTGGCTGGGAGTTTCGGGAGGCTTCACTCGGCCCCGGAAATCCAGGAGTCGCAGCCGAGGACCGAACCCCGTAGACTCCTGCCCTCCGCCTCTCATCAATGTGTTGCCTCTCTGCCATCCAGAGGTGGGATCTGGGGAAGAAACTTTAGCTGGAGCCCTGCACCCGCCACTCCGGGGCTGGTGTGTGCAAGGGAGAGTGATGGGGAGGAGGGTCTGAATTAACTCGCTAATTGGAAGTGGCCTGGGCTGTGACTCAGGTTCCAGAGGGAGGAGATTCGGAGCGCCAGCTCCAGGCGATCAGCGCCGGGCACCGTCTGCACCAGCCTCACCAGCTGGCCCTTCGAGCTGCAAACCCCGAACAGCGAGTGAACGCCGGGGGCAGCGAGGGAAAGGCCGAGGCCTGAAGGGTCTCTGGCCACAGTCTGGAGGCTTTTCCGCTCCCGGCCAGCGCCTTGTCTCTGTCCGCGGTGCTGAAGGTTCGGTTGCTATAACCAGCCTGTGCGCACCGGGTTAGGGGATGGGCGGGGGGGGGGGGGGGAGCGGGTTTGCGGTTTCCGCCCGAGTCCCTGGAGCCTGCCGTAGAGAAGCTTAGGGTCTCGGGGCGAGAGGAGTTGAGGAGACCTATCCACGGGCCCTGTGCATCCCGGTGGGGCTGGGTGGCTGTTCCAACAACAGGTAAGCTTCTGCCTCTCCGCTTGCCTTCCGCCCACCTGAGGAACCTAGACGCCCCGACACCGTCTCCTCCTTTGCCAGTGCAGACCTCAGTCCCCAGGAGAGATCGGAGTTCCGAGGCCCCAGGCAACGCGCTCATTAGCAGCTTCCCAAGCGGGGGTTTTGTGTTTATGTAAAACACAAATGGAGAGCTGCTCTCGGCCGGCGTTTACCGCAACTCTCGCTCCGCGGAGATTTCCCCCTCCCCTTCTCGAGTTCCTGGGGACGTTCGCAGAACAAAGCGCCTTGTTTTGCCTTTGCAGAGAATGGGGGAAAACAAAACAAAACAAAACAAAACAAAACACAACACAGGACCACGTTTCCAAGGGCCCAGGCCTGTGATGCAGGGAAATCACTATTTTGCTTGCACTGAGTGGGGGAATTTGCCTCTCCACTGAAGGCAAAGGGGCCTATTCGGAGCAGAGCAGGTGGCAGGGAGCTGAGAATTAACAGATAATTTCTCATTGTTCCGGGATCGCAGGCAGCTCTGCGGCTCTGGCATTTCTCAACCTAACGGAGCGAAAGAGGTACTATCCTGACAGAGCTGCAGGAGGAAGCCGGAGCTCCAAGCTCCCAGGGCAGGGTAACTGCGGGAAAGAGAACTCTCTACGCTGAGGAGAGATAGAGGAGACAGGCGCAGACACTGTGGGTGTAGGAGATACAGAGAAACCAAGTCAGATACCTAGAAAGGTACATACTCAGAAAGTGACACTAAAAATATGGTTTCTTACACTAAGGCAAGCTTCATCCTAGCTGTTCTCTTCCTGCCTCACCGGCAGGTGCTGACAACACTATGGCGAGTAGCCAGTATCAAAATAGAAGAAAAAAAAAAAAACTTCTTCCAGTGTCTCTAAGACTTCATGCCCCACAAGCCAACCTCCCAAACACATCTAAAAGTATTCCCATATGAAGAAACCCATTCATTCTCCCAGTGTGTCACTCAAGTGCCAGAGGGAAGAAGATAGAAAGAAATGGAATTGTAGACCATTCGACCCTGTAGAAAAAGACCGTGCTGAGTGCAGGTTTAGGTATGGGAAAGAGTGAAAGGGGAGTTTAAAAAAAAAAAAAAAAAGCTAAATGGCCAAACAAGGGCATGGGGGCATGGCTACTAGCTACTAGGAGGCCTGGGGCAGTCACAGCCTCTCTCTGGATTTCAATGTTCTTGTGTAGCAGGGGTCCTTCGAGGCTAGAAGAAGAGGATGGTTTTCCACATGGCCAACTCACTTTGAGCTTCTGCTCTCCCCTAGCTCTGCTATAGCTTTGGCTGGAACAATCTAAACCTGAGGGCCCCAGCCTAGACTGCTCAGAAGTACAGAATGGGGCTAGAAAGCAGGCCTGAGGCAGAATGAGATCTGAAGCAGGAACCAAAGACCTCCCATTCCTATGCCTTTGTCATCCCCTCCCTAGATAGCCAAAGTGCACATTCCCCACTCCCACCCCCATTCTCTGCCCCTGGAGCAGGCACCCACCCTACTCGGAGCAGCAGTGTCTACTTGAATTATGTGACAGATAAAATAAACGAGGACCACTTAATTTTTTTTTAAAAAATTTGAACCTTGGTAGGAAATTGCTAATGCTGTAGGCGGGAAGAGTGAGCTCCTTTGACATGAACTGATGTGTCATATCATCTTTCCATCTCAGTGCAATTTCTAAATAGGGAGCCCTCTCCCCATCCTCCACCACCCCTTCCAGAGATGTAGAGGCAGCATCTGACACTCATAGCTGGGTAGTCTGCAGAGAGAGATAACAGGGAACTAGAAGGAGGGAGCTCAGTGCTTTGTTAAGTACCCTGGAGACACAGGGGCTCTGGCCCAGCTAGAAGTGAATCCTCTGCTTTCTGAGGTATTTTCCCAGGCCAGGGACAGGCATCCAGGAGGTATGCTGTTCAGAGGCCAACCGGTGCTTGTTGGCTAGGCTAATCCATGAAAACAGCCAAACAGGAATTTATCTCCATTTAATCCTCACAATAGGGAGAACCGGTGGGCCCTGATAGTCCATCTGGAAGATGAGGTAGGTAATCAATAGGTTAGTCGATGTTGGTGAAAGCTGGGAGGTGGCAGAGAACTGGAATCCAGACCCTCTAGGCACACATCAGTGCCTCTTCCTTCTTCCTGTTGAGAGAGGGTTGGTAGGGTAGCAAGATTTTTATATGTTCCTTTAAAGGGTTTTAAATAGACTTTCTTACATGTCAAGGGTGTTTAGAAATTAATTATATAGAGGAATGGAAGATTTAGTCCTGTGTATCTTTGCAAAGATCTTGGCTCTCGGACCTTAGCCATTCCAGTTGCCTGTAGGACCCAGTTGCTAGCTTAGAAAAAAGTCAGCGTCATTGATAAAGCACAGGGTTGGAACCTGGGCTGGGCAGCTCCCCCTGAAAGCTCGCTTGACTGCTTCACTTTTGGGAGAGACTGAACTCCCAAGAAGGCTGCCTAGGGATCTGCTATACCTGGAATGGGTCCTGTGCCCAGAGCCCAGCTTCCAGGAAAGGACCTAGCCCAGATTTTTCTAAGATCACAACTCCAGTGTTTGGAATTCTCCCCAAGGAGCCTGGAGAGAGTTTGTAATCTCAAGACTCTGGCTGTTCTACTAATGAAAGGAAACCAAATAAAATGTCAAAAGTAATTAAGGTGACATGTTTGAAAAGGCCTGCCAAAGGATGTCTTAATCCTTGATTTTGATAGAGTTCAGACAGCAAGGGTTTCAAGTCTCCTGTGGAATGAAGGGGCCAGGGCCCCTGGAAAGAACAAAGCTGTTTACCAAATTTTAGCTTCCCTATATACTATGAGATAAAATTATTATTTTTTTTCTTTTTTCTATCTAAGACCCCAAGCTGAATCTATGTTTCTGCCATTTGCTAGAGTGTAGTGGCTGGCTGAGGAGTCACCTCTTCCCTTTACTAATACTTCATTTGTAAAGTGAGAGGTGTTTGATACAAGGCTGTCAAGCATCAACTCCTTCTGTACTAACAGCAGCCCAAAGAGAAAAGTGTAAGCAGGTGTAACTCATCTCCCTGGAGAGCCTTCTGAGAGAGAGGGAGAGAGAGAGAGGGAGAACAGGCCCTGGGTTCACAGTCAAGTAGTGGCAGGACCAGAACTTATGCCTGTGTCCTCTTTCATGTGCGCCCTCTCTCAGCACTTACTAAGTCCTCACTGAGCCCCGGTGTGCAGAAACCAAGACACAGTCCTGGGCTGTTTCCTGCACATGGCAATCTTCAAACACACCACACTGTATGCAGACCCCGGGCTCCGCTCAGGGCTGATATCCTGAGGGACCGCACCAGATTGCTGTCAAGAGAGGCCACAAGTGAAACTGATTTAAAATGAGTTCTCTGACCTCCGTGATGCACAGATGCTCATGTCTACAGTGACCAGGAAACGTCTGTGAATGATT